GGTAGAACCACTGCCAGCTCGGGCAGAGGCCCTGGGTTCAGACCCGGTTCCTTACAATCAGTAAACTACACTGAGACAAAGTTTCTGCTAATGTTTATGAGGGTTTAATACTAAACAAAATAGTCTCATCAGCACAGTGCCTTAAAGTGTATCTAAACCTAAAAGCAAACATTTTATATGTTGCAACCAACCAGTCCTTAGATGTGGTGATCGCATTAGTTTTCTTTTTTGGGCCAGTAACAAATTTCTATCCTGGGGTGACAGTGCTCAGTCATTGTACGGTATCTATGAAGAAGCAGCGTTGTCACCCTAGGAGGGGAAAGGCATTAGGACTGTAGAACAATTTTCCCTCTCCTCATTTGTGTAACTTAGGGGTGAGGTATTCTGTAGTTCACATAGAGAGTTGGGCAGGGCTGATAGGACTGCTTAAGATCCTAGTTCGGACAGGGTGTACAGTAAGGATTTCTGGCTTTCAATTGTATATTTAATAGACCAAAAGGGAGCAAATAAGACAAGTTCAGGTTTACATACATTTTAAGCTACCTGCAGACATTAGAGAGTTAATGGGCTTGCATGCATTAGCTAGACACCAGACTCATTGTGCTAACTTGCATGTCAATGCTTATAAGGGATCCTCTGGGGAGATCAGTCTCAGCCTTGAGCAGAGAGCCTCATCCATAAAGGGGCTTGCAAGTAATCAAAGTGCCCAATCATACTGTAAACAGCTAGTTCAGGCAAACATTCTGTTATGCCTATAGAAACCCTTTGTGTGATTTTCCAATGGCAATCAGATTTAAAAAAAAAAAATGTCACTTTCCCTGATATATTCCTCGTCCATTTTGCTTCTGTTCAAACTAGCCTAGACAATGTGTTTCAGTATGACTGTGGTAGGGACATTGCATTGTAAACTATGTACTGAGCTACTCGCCACTATGTTTCCATGGATGCTTAGACACGGGTACTTATTTGAACATTTATTGTCAATAGCCAGTCGTTCTGTGAATGGACAAGGAGGGAGATCTTATGGTTTACCATACCCCTCCTCTCCCCTCATCCATTCACAGAAAGCATTGCATTAAGTGAAAAAATATAAGGCTTTTTCTGAATGGATGAAGGGAGAGAAAGGGAGAGACTGAGGGACTCACGTTTACTGTACACTATCCAGAACTGTCAACTCATGGCTGCCAGTAGTATTATGCAGGAATAAAACGTACATAGTAAATGACTAGTAGCATTACACAAAACTTCTCTGGACCAAACTCAATTAAAAAGTACTTTTTTTCTGGGGTTCCACATTAACCCAAATGCAGAAACAAAGACTAACATTTCAAGACTTCTCTAAAGTCTCTCCCACCTTCTGGAGCTCCCTACCCCAACCTGTTTTGCTACCTCCTACTCTGCCTTTAGGTGATCCCTGAAGACCCATCTCTTTAAGGAAGCTTATCCCACCTGAACCGTTACCTAACCACTGAACTATTACTTTCTCAAACAACTCATCACAGCTACCACCATTTGTATCATTTGTCCCTTTTTAGATTGTAGCTATCACGGGCAGGGCCCTCCTCATCATTTTGTCTTGAATTGTATTGTGATTGTAATGTCTTGCTTATATTGTAAAGAGATGCGCAAACTGTTGCGGCTATATAAATCCTGTATAATAATAATAGTAATAATTTTGTATTGTTAACCCCTTTGTAAACAGGCACATTTACCTTTGTACTCTGTAAAGTCTTGCAGGATTTAAATGTTAAAACTATATATATTAATTAATTAATTTATATAGTTAAAAGAGAACTATGAGGTGAGTGATTTTCACTCATCCTCATAGTTCGAGCCAACGTGTGACTATTAAACTGTTGCACGTCGGCTCAATAGATCAGGAAGTGAGCGATCACATACCGTTGGTCGCTCACTTCTCGATCCTGTCCCTACAGGGATTCCCCCCTCACCTGCCCGATCCTCCAGCAATGACTGGCGGAACAGACTGGGGAGGGGGCAGTTACAACTGGCTCTGCCTATCACGCAACTGGGTGGATCTCTACAGTAATGTTGGGATCTGTCCCGGCTGCGGCCGTCTCAGTATACCGCGAGCTGTAGATCGCGGTATACTGAGCTTTGGGTCACGGGAGGACGCTAGTTTATGTCCTCCCGTGACCCTTAGGAGAACTATGGAGAAAAACACTGACCCCAGAGTCCTCCTTTAAATAATAACATAAATCTGGGGAGTTTTTGAATATTTGTATTAAAAAAATCTTCCTTAGGTCATTGAAAACAGGCTTTTAACACACCTACCAGTACAAAATATTGCTCATGCCTTTGAAAATGAAGTTGTTTTCCTGCAGTTTGGGTTTATTTTGGGTTTCCTGCAAGAGAGGTGGAATACTAGGTCAGTTCTTCATGTCAGGAGAAGACAACGTTAGCTTTGTGTGTAACTTGGATTGGTGGGACTTTTAGCCTCAGGAATGTGGAGACACACAGGATGGAAAACAGAATTGGTAACATTTGGGTATGATTTCATGTTATTTGTAAATGTAGTTGTGCAACTGAACTAAACATGTGATAAAAAAGATACCTAAATGTTACTGCTTCTTTTTTCAGTTTTCTTGCAAATATGTGCCTTGTCCTCAGCCAGTCTTGAAGAGTTGGTAAAATGTTCTGTTGGTTTGATGACTTAAAGGAGAACTATGAGGTAAGTGCTTTTCACTCACCTCATAGTTCTAGCTGACCTGTGACAATGAGACTGTCACAGGTCGGCTCAGTAGATCGTAAGTGAGCGAACACATACCGGCGTTCGCTCACTTCTCGATCCTGTCACGGCTCTCTGCCGTGACATAGGAGGGGCTGGATTCCCCCCTCCCCGCTCCGATCCTCCAGCGCTGACTGGTGGAACGGACGGGGGAGGGGGCGGGTACCGCTGGCTCTGCCTCTAGATAGGCAGAGCCAGCTGTCACTCACGCAGCTGGACGGATCCAGATATAATTGTCGGGATCCGCTTCAACTGCGGCGTCTCCGTATACCGCGAGCTACAGCTCGCGGTATACTGAGCTTAGGGTGACGGGAGGACGCTAGTTTGTGTCCCCCCGTTACCCTAAGGAGAACTATGGGAAAAAGCCCTAACCCCATAATTCTCCTTTTTAAAGGGTATTTAAACCCTTGCAGATTGTTGCATATATCTACTGCTAGCAAGCAGTAGAAATATACAAAAACATTTTGAAAAAAGTTTAAACCTGTTTGGTAACTTACCTGTGCCTCCGCCGCACGCTCCCGTCGGAAGATCTGAAGATTCTCAGGCAGCCGCAAATGATGATGGGGCGGGCGCATGCGCAGTACAGATCTTCGGCTGGGAGATGAGGAGAGACACAAGGTAAGTCAATGCAGGCAGCCCAGCAGCGTGCAGCCGCACAGACTCCGTGGGACACAGCAGACGCAGCCGTCAGTGCTGGATCAGAGACCGGCACCAGTGCTGGAGGGACTGATAAAAACTACAGGAAAGAAGAAGATGATTGGATTAGGAGGCATCATTTAAGGTAAGTGCATACACCAGCATTGGGGGGGGGAGACATTTTTTTCACTTTAATGTCACTTTGAGGCTGAAATCCAGGAAATACAGAAAAAACAATATATATATATAAGACTCCTTGTCTACAAGCGTGTCCATGAACACAGGAGGTCTGCGTTCTCTGTTACAGTTGTAGTCTGTAGAAGGAATACAGTAGTGTTCTCTCTCTATAGTGAAATTGCAGCAGCAAGCAGATGAGCTCACTCTGCTCTCTCCTACTGTCGGAATTTTAAAGTAGACCTGAACTCAAAAAGTGGAGTTTCTATGATATAGGGCGCTTCTAGAAATGTTAAGTATGCTTAAGAAGTAAGCTGCTCACTGTTCTCCTTTGCTGGAGGCTTTGAGATGAAGAAGCAAAACCCTGTTGCTACCAAGATGGCTGCCCCAAAACATACAGTGCACAAGAAGATCAGCTGCAGGAAGACCACAGGCAATACTGATGACTAGTCCTTTGCCCTCTGCCTGATATTTTATTTGCACTGTCATTGTTCTGTTCCTTTTTAAAGGATACCTATGCTTTTTTATAGTTATCTTTTAAGTGGACCACATGGCGTTGACCTTGCAGGAGCATAGGCAGGTGAATATAAGACTTTGGAGGGTAATCTAAAGGCTATAACTATACCAACATATATTTATCCTTTAATTCATCAGCCCAAAATGAGAAAAAATATATACCATAGTGCACACTGTATTTCTATATTAAAAGTTTTACTCACATAAAAATGTACTTTGTCAATCTGGACGTAACGTACATAGGGTGGAATTTGTGGCGCAGAAGTGGGTGGCGCAGTTGGAGGAAGTCGGGAGAGAGTGTTTGATTGATCCGGTGGTGTCCCTGCCTGTACTACAGTGCTTTTATTAGTGTGGCACAGTGCCCAAACGCTGATCCCAGTGCACTGCACTATGTTGTTTTTTTTTTAGAACTTTATTGAAATGTCACATGTGACATTTCATTTAGTTCTACGAGCACAGCAGGGCACAAGGAGGTTGTACTGCGTCGCATCCCTCTGTGCTGAAAAAAGTAAGGCATGCTTTACTTTTCAGCGCACACCACGTTCTTACCGCAACAAGGTGGTATAAATGGGCACCATCTGTGACAAGTCAAATTGCCTTGTCTTGTGTTGGGGCTCTGCTGAAAATAATGGCCAGCGCAGCCCCAACGCAGATGGTGTGAATGGACCCTAAGGGTTAAAAGCGTAATCTCAGTGATTGTGTTTTGCCTGCATTTAGGCAGGACTTTTTATTTTTAAAAGATTTTTTTAGGGGAATACAGGTACACTTTACATTTATAATACCATAAGAACTTTATTTCTACTTCAGAGTTCCAAACTCCTCTCTGATCTATTCCCACCATTGTAGAACTCTAATCCACTGGTTGCTTGGACAGAAAATAAAAACGGTGCTTTCCGCTGAATTACTTTTTCAAACATTTCTTTAACAGGTCGCTTAAAGGTCAATATGGCCAACATTTATCTGAAACAGAAGAACTACTCCAAAGCAATAAAATATTATCGTATGGCTCTTGATCAGATCCCTGGTGCACACAAGGAGATGAGGCAAGTAACTCTTCCTGAAATGCTTACAAATGTAGTGAGTCCTGTTTCCTGATATATTTTACATTTTAAGTCAGGTCAGTTATCACATAGCTGTAGATCCTTTGATCCTTGGTGACTACTTTTACAACACACACAGGGAACATGGGAACAAAAGTAGTCACCCTCCAGAAGGAAGGGCAGTGTCATCACCAATTCAGAGATGATTTGAGGATCTACAGCCGAGTGATACACAAATAAGACACATTTTATTAATAGTTAGGGTACTTGAATGCATTTTTAAGTTTTTAACTCGTGAGTTTAGTGTCACTTTAAATGACGTGTCTAAAAGGGAATCAATGAAATTCTACGTGTTGTCTTTGTACTGAAGTACAATTCACAGAATTGCCCTCAATATGCCTGAGCTCCATGGTAAGACATTAAATGTGTACACTTCTACTGGATACTCTGTCAACTTCAATAGTCTGTCTAAACATTGGCCAGGAGAAGAACTATATACCATTTTTAAAAAAGTTGATTTTAGCTGATTTTACAATATTAGGCTTGCAAGATTACTGGATTTTTCAAGAATCATTAATTTGAACAATATTGTTACTAATTCCTTTTTATTTTACATGCATTTGATTATATTATTCTCAACGGTGACAGGGATTGGCATTGGCAGGGGGGCATGAGCAGTTGAAGCAGAAAAAAATAAAAAAAATAGATCTAAAACCCATGAATAAAGGTTTTTTGAATACTACTGGCAGTGGTAGAAACCCCCCATTAAGATGAGAATGTATTTATTCTCTTCTGAGGTTCCTGAGCAATGTCTTCTTTTTATTTAACTTATTACCAAGCATAAATGCACACAGTAAAAATCAGAATAGCACATATTACAGATGATAAAATACAGAAGGGACAAAAGGCATCCAACCATCGAGACTAGAGGTGCACCGAAATGGAAATGTTAAAACCTAAACCGAAATTTAAAAAACCGCCAGGCCGAAACCGATGCCGAAAATGTTTTTTTTAATTTTGTAACAAATTTTAAATATTTTATTTTTATTTTTTTTTACTTTTTAGTTTTTACATTTTTTATATTTATTTGTATTTATTAATTCATTTTTTATTATTCCTCTCTGACACGCTGTCACAGGAGGCTGAGCGAGCAGAGCAGGGAGGAAAGCTCCGCCTCCTGTGACAGCGCGGCCTGTCTCCGCCCACACACCGCTCTGCCGGACTGTGATAGGCGGCCGAGTGGTGTGGGAGGAGAGACACCGGCCGTTAACGGCGCTCTCCTACCGCAGCGCTCGGCCGCCTGTGACACTTTCTCTCTTCCCCACTGGGAGAGGAAGCAGGGATGTGCCGATGTATCGGCCGAAACATGGCACTTTTGGCATTATGCTAAAAGTTCCATTTTCGTCCGATATGTTTCGGCGGCCGATATATCGGTGCATCCCTAATCGAGACCATATGGAATCACAATTCATCATCACTAGCGCAGGGAATAGGTGTGCTATTGGTTAGTTGGTTACTTCGGCGAACACTCCTCAACCGTAGGTGGGTTCGGGGAGGCGCATTTCACCACTGTCATCCTACAAGCCATATACAGTGATATAGTGATAGCTAAAGATAAATTATTATCTTTACTTGAGGAGTCAAAATACTCTAAGCAATGTCTTCTTCCCAGGAAACTTGTAATGTAAAATATGGAGGCTGCCATTATTGATCTCTCCTTAATACTGAAATTACTGATTTGCTCTTATGCTGGTCTGTTGACTTTAGAACAAATATACAGATCAGGAGCTCTTACTTTCCTCTGATTGCATGTCTGCTGCAGGTTGGTGACTCAGAAAGTATTGAGGCCATTGACTGCTAGGCCAAGTCATCCATAATGAACAGGCTCTGTACTTGACCTGAGTATACTTGAGTACACTGAACACACGTCCAAAATTACTTCCTGTAGAGAACCTGAACCTAACATAGGGCATTAGACTTGAATGTACCGTAATGCTACACAAAGCAAGGCCGAGGTCAATATTTAAGTGCAGAAGGAGAAAAAATGGTACATGCATGAATCCATAACCGGCCTTTATAGCAGGGCGCACATTGGGAAGGCTTACAACAATACAAAACACAAAAATTCCCCAGCCTCAGCCTGCCAGCCAGTCTGCAACCAAACAAGTAGCCCTGTCAACAGTATGCGTTAAAATCAGAGGTTTTAGTTGCACAAACTTTTGGCCAAAAATGTGTAGAAGCCACACTGCCGCACCAAGGCACCTCTGCAAAGTGTGGTCCTAACTCTATGTATCCGAGTCTCCAAGTGTGAGCATATTAATGAATAGTCCTTTCCTTTACTATGCTTCGATTTAGGATCAAGATCATGCAGAATATTGGAGTTACGTTTATCAAAACAGGGCAGTACACAGACGCCATTACATCATTTGAGCACATCATGAGTGAGTCTCCGAACCTGAAGGCTGGCTACAATCTAATACTGTGCTGTTTTGCTATTGGAGACCGAGACAGAATGAAAAAAGCTATCCAGAAACTGATAGCTGCACCCTTAGGAATTGACGATGAAGACAAGTATATCTCACCTGGTGTAAGTCATAGTCGCTGTTATTGTGTGCTACATAATTTGCCCAGACGTATATTCGTATTACTTAAAAGGAACCTAAATACACAACTTTGGGTAGCATTTAGAAGGTTTTATCATCCACTAGCCTGTTTCCAGGTCTCCAGATTGAGATATAAACTCTACTTCACCTTTGTGTTGATGGACCCAGCTTTTTATGTCAATATTTATAAAGTTGTAAATGCTACTTACGCTCAACAATTTGGTTACAAAATGGATACACAGTACCTCCTCATAGACACAAACATCCCACAATTCCTTTCAATCTTCCTTGTATCACTCATCTTGTATTCCCAGCGGCTTCGGCAATAGATCAGTCCTAGAACATCGTCACTCCCAGGGCAGCTTTCGCAAACAAAGTCTCTGCGCTGCCTCTGGCTTGAAAAAGTATAATGCACCTTTCAGAAGCTGCACGACTACCTCTTCTTTTTTAAGTTAGGTTAAGTTCAATCAATCTTCCCTTCTCCAATTCACTTCTACTTTCCTAATGCTTAAGGATTTTTTGGCTCAATTTGCTGGTATCATGATTATGATGATTAAAGATTAAGACTAAAAAGTAGTAAATTATGCCTACAAAAATGCTCTGCAAATGACAGCCATTCCTTCCCTGTGTAGCTCTATACACCGGTCTTCCCAACCTTCCACAGTGTGTCTCCAGCTGGCTGCATACAGAGCAGTTGCTGTTATTGTGTGCTACATAATTGACCCAAACCCATTACTGTGTTTCTTAAAAGTAGCCTAGATACTCAATTTTGGGTAGAATTTAAGAGGTCTCTTTACCAACTAGCTTGTTTCCGGTCTCTGTTTTGAGATCTAAGCTATGCTCCAGTTTTGTGCTGGTGGACCTGCCTCTTCTTTATGCTAAACAGTTGAGTTGCCTGATCTATACTAAGTTCTCTATGAATCCAAATTAAGAATCCTGCAGGAGGCGTTTTGGCAGGTGATACCAGTGCATAAAGCGAAGCAGGGTATGTCATGGCAGCAGTTGAGGGACAAAGGTGGGATCTTGGTGGAATGGGCTTTTCTCTAAAACTTGTGTAAAAGCCAAAATGTGGTCAAACACACAGGGGTTCATTTATATACGTTCCACCCGGCGTGAAGCCAAAAGGATGCTGTTCACATGGCACTAGTGCCCCTGGATGGCGCTGGCAAATATAGGAATTTCTTCCATCTAGGGATTCTAGTGTCCTGTGAATGGCATGGCTTTACTTTCCCTGTAACTTTTGTTTATTGTTATGTACCTAATATATGCATAGTCAGGTTTTGACTACCAGTACCATCTACCAGTCTTATTATACTGTCTCTTTGTTTTTAGGATGATCCACACACTAATCTTGTAATAGAAGCTATTAAAAATGACAGCCTGCACCAAATGGAGCTTGAACGGTAATTTAACTTGTTTGTTTATGAATGCAGCATTTTCCCTCTAAAGTTAAAAATTTTAAAGTGATTTATAAATGTTTTCACACAAGATTAACACAATTTTCACGCAGGATTTACTTATTTTTACATTGATTTTCGTTAGAAAAAAGTGTGAATCCTTGGTGAAAGTTGTGTGAAACAAATTATACATAGACTAAAGATAGGAACTGCTCCTATCCTGTGCCTCTCTGTCCACCCCATTATTCTGAACAACAACACTGTTTACTTAAAGAGGAACTTCAACATTCTCTTTAAAATGACAACAAAGGCACCATTAGAAACGTTTAGTAATGACAATCTACAAGCACATACTTCTAGATAATTGCCGGCTTTTTATTCTTTGCATACTTTACTTTTCTTTTCCTCCACATTCTTCTCAGAGTAGCCATTTTTAGTAAGGCCAGATGAATACATCTCTCTTAACTTCCTGGAATTCTGGCACATGTGACCAGGACATGTGACCATGCACATCACCTCAGGGGAGGAAAATGCCTTTCCCTGAGATCTCATGGGATTACAGATTAGATTTCCCAGCAATGCTCTGCTGATGTAAGGATGTATCTCTTATGCGTGGGCTACATCACTAATGCCTAAGAGGGCCAGGAAGTGGAAAATGGTAATTGTAAGTAAAAGAAAAATATGTTTATTTAACTAATGAATGTAAGATGACTTCATATCAGCATGCAGAGTTGTAGGACTTGTTCACACCATATCCATTGCGTTTTGGCATTCTGGCATAAAAATGGCTCTATACATGTACCTTGCTGTGGACTTATGGCTCTATGCATGTACTTTGTTGTGAGCTTATGGCTCTATACATGTACTTTGCTGTGAGCTTATGGCTCTATACATGTACTTTGCTGTGAGCTTATGGCTCTATACATGTACCTTCCTGTAAACCTATGGCTGTTTTCATTTCAAAAGTAATTGTTATGTTCCCAAAAGTCACAGTGATCTTAATTCTTTTTTTTTAGGAAAGCATTGGCTGAAAAATACATCATGACTGCAGCCAAACTGATTGCTCCTGTTATTGAAAACTCTTTTGATGTTGGCTATGACTGGTAAGATGTTTTTAAACAATAAATCAGATGAAAAACACTCTGTGGTTGATTTCAAAGCATTTGCAACACTTTTCTGACGTTATGGACATATTAGAAAGTTCTGCTGCAAATTCATAGACTCCATGTGACTGTTTTTTTTTTTTTTTGCTATTTGCAACACGTGACAGATTCAAGTAGTTCTTATGTGTGACACTTTTACATTCTGGTGCAATGGCAGGACCCTTTTTTACCGTCCACCACTTCCCACAGGATTGGGGTGGACAGTAAAAAAAGGTGGTGGTGGTGGGGGTGACCTGATGGTATTGCTTAACTACAGTAGAGAAATGTCTGATAACCGACCTGTCTGATTGGGCTTTTGCAACGCTAGCTGCGCAGAATTTCACATTCTTTTGGCAGGTAAAACAGCTTTCATGCATGTATCTTTTATGGGTGTAATTAGCTGTAAGCCTGGAATTCAATTGTACCGAGAAACATACAAGAGCTACCATCGCTGCCTTCCTTGTGGTTGTGCTAGTTGTCTGACTGGCATGCTGATCTAATGGCTTCAATACCTTTTGTGTCACTTACTGCTGATTGGGATAGGGGAAACCTGGATCAGAAAGTATTGAAACCTTTGGATTACTACAACAGCCTGGAAACTCTCTTTTGAAATCACAGCCTCCAAATTTACCATAACTGTGTGATAGCACATACCTATTGATAGTTGTTTGATTTATTCTTGCAGGTGTGTGGAAGCCGTAAAGACATCACAGTATGTGGAACTGGCAAATGATCTGGAGATTAATAAAGCTATAACCTATCTGAGACAGAAGAACTTTACCCAGGTATATAAGAGTTCTCACTTTAGGTTCTGTGTTAATGCTTTGTTAATATAGGGCCTCATGCACATGGGCAGACAAAACACTGCTGTTTTTTTGTGCATACACACATTACGCACCAAAATATGAATTTTTTCTATGCTGGATTTTGCTTGCCGAAAGGTTTGGCATAGCTCCAGCATAGATGGGAAAATTGTAATACTCCCGTGTGCATGAGCCCCAAGACAGGCAAATCCCAGATGCCACATAAGCACTTTGTTTCTCAGACATTTTACTTTCTAAATGACCACTTCCATGGTTTAAATAACTCCCTCTCTTTAGTGCTTGGTAGGCATCACTCTAATTAAACATTTTGGCTCTGTCCAGTTCTGCTTTGTACAACCCAGATTGGGCATATGTGCTACCCACACTCAAAGTTTTAAAGTATACTGTATGTATAGCCAAAACCTTTTCTTTTCATTTTGGGTACACTAGGGAAGGATGAAAACCCCCATTTCGGTGTTTATTGCTGTCTGTGTCACCACCAGGTAGATTCACCCCTCTCACCAAGGTAGAAAGTAATACAATATCCACAATTTTAATGTTGTCACCAAAACAGAATTTGGGAGGGAATCTTCCAATGGTTTTGGCTATACATACACGTCCACTAGGAAGTCACAGCATAAAATCAACAACTGTGAGCAAAAGTGTTTTCACAATTTCAAATGATAAAATTACAGCTCAAAGTCAGTTTGGTATTAATTTGATTGATTGATTTAGATTATTCCTGTTAGTATATCATTTTCTCTGAATCATATTCTAACCTTATACAATTTTGCTTGTTTGCAAATTAATATATTGTGGTTCATTCAAGTATAGTCTCGAATGAATGGATTTTATTTTCCCCTGTCTTCATCATGGGCACATAGCTACTTGCTAATAATCAAAAAGCAAGGGTGAGGGGAACAAGCATGATTAGTAAAAGGGGCAGGATCCCCCAACTGCGCACAGTTCATGCGTCCGACTTGTTTTAGTGATGCAATCCTGTCGGCTACAAAAAAAAAGTCTGTGAACATCTGAATCTGCAATCTCAGTTGTTGGCTAATCAAAGATTTGCACAATCCCCTCTGAACAGTTGAGGCTTAACTGCAGACACAGTTAAAACATATAGACTGTCTTACTTGGCAAATGATTTGTTATTTTGTTTGGCTGTCCTTGTTAGCCAGACACTCATGATAGGCAGACACCATAGTCAGTTGTGTGACCTTAGTTCCCCTTTATACAGTAAAGCAAAAAAGCTTGGTTTTCCTGTGCTGTATTCTCCTTATTGCAAATGAAGAATTTATCACCTAGAGTGATCTTCTTTGGCTGCAGGGAGAGTCTTGGTTTTCCTGTGCTAAATTTTGTTTATCTGAAAATAATAAATCCATTACGTAGTGTGATGTCCCCCTGGCTATAACAGGTATAAACTAGGGATGTTCAGATACCAGTGCCGATACTTGGCATTTTCACGAGAGCTACCAGGGACGCGGAAGTTGCAGCTGCGACTGGGCCCTGGCGCTCCACCACTGTCCTGAAGTCATTAGACTGTATTGTTTTAGAAAAACTGTCACATGACAATAATGTATCAGTAATTGTATCTGTGAGTACTTGGACAAGTATCATCACTTGGTCTGGAAAAAATGGTATTGGCGCATCCCTAATAAATAAATATACTGTATATATATATATATATATATGTATATATATATGTATACTGTATATTGCAATCTATAAACCAGCTATGTTTCACAAAATGTTTTGCATATTTGTTCAATATATGTACACTGGACTGGAGATTGTCATAAATGAGCTGTAAATCCTGGGATTGTAAGCAATTCTGTTAGAAGACATTAGTAAAAATACAAGGCTCCTTAATGATCTTCTCAATGCAGGAATAAAATTGAAAAAGGGACACAGTACACAGCATTAAAAATGGGAAGTTGTTTGTCAGGTAGAAATCACGAGAAAAGATAATTTGTATATATAACAAATCATACATAAAAACAGGGATATACAAATCCCTGGAGCCCCGTACCCAATGCTCCTTAAAAATGACAGCTGCCTCCTAATGTTTGAGTTTTTCTCTAGTCTAGTCATGGATCTGCAAAAGTATCTGTGCTTGTACCCAGTATGGTACTTGGTATCTGAACATCCTTAGCTATAACCCAGGTTACTGTTTAGAAGGCACATTAACCTGGGACCGAAAAACATACCTCTATCTTGCCCCTCTGTCATCAGGCTAGTTCAGTGATGTCATGGGTCCTTCCTCTTCTTTCTTGGCGACAGCAGTGGGTGGTCATTCCTCCTAGACTAAGCTGCACTCAGGTGTGCGAGTCCAGGAGTACTGGGAGCCTATGCTGCATGAGGGCACACTCAGGTAATGACGTGTGAGTCTAGGAGACCTGTGAGCCTATGCTGCATGATGGCGCACTCAGGTAATGACGTGCAAGTCAAGGAGTACTGTGAGCCCATGCCGCATGATGGCACACTCACGTAATGATATGCGAGTTCATGGATACTGTGAGCCCATGTTGCATAATGGCGCACTCAGGTAGTCACGTGTGAGTCTAGGAGTACTGTAAGCCTATGCTGCATGATGGCGCACTCAGGTAATGATGTGCGAGTCCAGGAGTACTGTGAGCCCGTGCTGCATGGTGGCACACTCACGTAATGATATGCGAGTTCATGGATACTGTGAGCCCATGTTGCATAATGGCGCACTCAGGTAGTCACGTGTGAGTCTAGGAGTACTGTAAGCCCATGTTGCATAATGGCGCACTCAGGTAGTCACGTGTGAGTCTAGGAGTCCTGTGAGCCTATGCTGCATGATGGCACACTCAGGTAATGACGTGCGAGTCCAGGAGTACAGTGAATTCATGCTGTGTGATGGCGTACTCTGGTAATGACACCCAGGAGTAAATGCTTCATTGTGGTGCACCCCAGTGGATGTGGATTGATGGCCTGAGCACACAAGAAGTGTTTTGGACGAAGCTGGGTGTCATTCACCTTGGAAGATGAGCAGTGATAGATGTCAGGAGAGGAACATTTTCAGGACAGAATCACTGTTACGTGAGTATTTCAATGAAAGCTGGGGAAAAAAACTATAGGGTGAAAAGCACAATATTAAAAAAATAAAATAAATAACACTAGCAAAAAATTGCAAGAGGGCGATTCAACGCGACAGCACTTTTAAAAAAGTGAAATACCTGTTTTGTGAGCTGACGCTTTAACAGTGCACGTAATATATCATTCTGAAAGTTAGTTTATTTTTCTTTATCCTTTCCTCCTCTAATAATTCTATTTTTCCTCTCTGCTTGCTTTAACCTGTCAGTATGATGTGGTATGTACTGCTCTTTAGTATGTAGACTAGATGCAAAGGTGATTACAAAGGTTGTTGTACACATCCACTCATGCAAAGGAGCTTTTACCCTGATATTTAGGGCTCGTTCATACTACATGCATTGGGCTGCATTGGTCAACGCAGCCCCAAAGCATCTACAAGGGCATGCACTATATTTTTGACAGTACACACCAATACACTGTAAAGAAATGAGGCTAGCAGCATTTTATCGCTCAGCTGCTCGTTGTATTGTGCCACAGTACATGCTTGGATTTTGAGTGCAGCAGAAGAATATGGACACATGATGAGAACATACCTGCACACATGATGAGAACATACCTGCACACATGAAACTATTTTGTACTACTGACTTTCCTTTCTCTTTAGTAGCTGAACATACCATGAGAGCACAGGAAGCCAGTCTCCTCCCAAAGACTGATCATAGAAAAGTTAGGCTTAAGACAAAACTTAAGATCAAGTGGGGCAAATAGTCCACCAGGGTATGAATAGAGGCACCTAACCTAACACTGCTGTGCTCAGTGTGTTTTATGTTGAAGCTCCAACGGGAGATTTAAATATGGAGAATTATAGGTTAGGCTGGGCCTATAAGACATGGCCTTCTTATCATCTGTGTTTTTTTTACAATAATGCTTCTCATTGTTGCTGTAGTGAGAACTTATATGATGAGTAATGTATGTTGTACAATGATTAAATATGTAATCTTTCATCTCTTCAGGCGGTAGAAACCCTAAAAATGTTTGAGAAAAAAGACAGCAGAGTGAAGAGTGCAGCAGCATCCAACCTTTCCTTCCTGTATTTCTTAGTAAGTAAAGTGTCTGTGTCTATACCAGCCTTTCTCAACCCTGGCACCCTGGGTGCCTTCTGGCTTTGTCAGGGGTGCCTTCAAATTTTCAAACAGTGTCATGCATTTCCATGGTGCAAGCAAGGCAGCCACCAGACCATGGAAATGCATGACACTAGTCCAGAGTGGGCTGCATCCAGGACCTCCCTGAGCATTCAGAAGAGGACAGAAGTCTGCCTCTTCCCAGACTTTGTTCACCTCCTGTCCTCTGCACATGCTGCCCTGTGGTAATGGTTATAAAGTAGGACTGAGGACTCTGGTGTGAAAGGGGACTGAGGACTCTGATGTGAAGGTCACTCCTGATGTTAAGAGGGCTAATGTGAAGGGGGACTCTAATATGAAAGGGGGGCTCTGATGGGAAGGGGAGAACCCCATATCATTTTTTGGTTGTTTTTTTTTCCGTGTGTGGGTTCTGCCCATACACAGTCCAATCTTGGTGATTGTGAACAATCCAAGCAAAGGAGATCCCCGTTTAATCCCTCTCAGGTGCTCACTGTGTATACACCAAGATGAGCAGTTTTCCATGTGATGTATACACACTGAGCACCTTGCAATCACGCAATGGACTGTGTATGTGAAGTGTCAATTACGTTTTTGTTCATATGAATTGTGTATCATTTGATTAATTGTATATATAAACATTCAATATATGTATATGTTGTTTGCAGGTTTCACTAGGTTGTATTGGTGGTAGATATTGCTGACATCTTTTGTTGATATATCAATATCTCGATTTAAATGTGTATTGATAAGCTGGTAGAGCTATGGGGGGGATGACCCTGGTCCCTCTACTCCCTCTTTATTTATCTCCCCACCCCTTCTTCTCTGTATCCCATTTACAGTTATAAACTTCAGTTTATTCCACATGGAAACTTTAATCATCTTTACGTGTGCTCAGACCCACAGTAATACATGCTTTGTATTCATTTCTTGATTGCTGTGCTACTTTCATAGTTTCTGGAATTCATTTTAAAATGTAATATTTGAAACTGTATTCATTGTTGACCATCCAGAAGGTTTCTGTACATCTTTGTAAGATGCCTTAATGAAGAACAGTTTAAAAAAACAATATGAATGCATGTTACTGCAATTAGAGAGTGCTGCTGCCTGCAGGATTTTGGTTTTCATATTAAATCTTCTCCTTAAAAGAACATTTCTTCCTAACTCAGAATGCGTTTACTTTTGGTCTGTTGGCTTAGACTTGGAACTAAGCAGAGATCTGTCCTCTTTTCAGAAGGGGGTTAGATGGGGTAAGCCAACCAGGATGAGGCCAAAGCTGCAGATGATGAAAACAAATGCAGCTCTGTTTTTTTAGCTTTTTTAGTGACCACTATATGTTTGGGTTGCTGTCGGTACACAGTACGTTGTCACAAGTACTGGTGATTTGAGGTCAGATGTCTCATCAAAGTTGTCAAGGAGACATCTGCCCATCCATGGCCACACTTCCTCTAGAAGAACTAAGTTTTTTTAACCAGTGACATGCTGAAGGATAAGACAAGTGTTCTGGACCTAAAGAGCTTAGAACATTACTGCTCCTTTTCCCAATTAAACAAAGTCCGCTGATATGCATACAGGTGAAACTCGAATAATTAGAATATTGTGCAAAGTTCATTTATTTCACTAATGCAACTTAAAAGGTGAAACTAATATATGAGCTAGACTCATTACATGCAAAGCAAGATAGTTCAAGCCGTGATTTGTCATAATTGTGATGATTATGGCTTACAGCTCATGAAAACCCCAAGAACCCCAAATCCACAACCTCAAAAAAGTAGATTATTACATGCAATCAATAAAACAAGGATTGTACATAGAACAATATCGGACCTCTGAAAAGTACAAGCATGCATATGTACTCAGTACTTGGTTTGGGCCCCTTTTGCAGCACTTACTGCAATTACTTTTGCACGATATTCTAATTATTCGAGTTTCACCTGTATTATAGTTCACCAAGAAAACACACCAGGACAAGGTTTTTATTTTCAGAATGTGGTATTTGAGAATTACAGTCACATGGCTAAAATAATTCTCATTAGCTATGTGCTAAAGCTTTGTGAACTGAGCCTTTTATATGGCTCCCTTGAGTGGCTATTCCACAAATAAATTATATTTATATAATAAAAATATGAAGGCCCAAGCACGTATGTTAATGGTAAAGCCATATTAAAAAGTTACTTGAAAGAGGAACTTTACCTACCAATTTAATGTCTCCCATAGCAGTTACTTTTAAGACAGACAACTGCCAAGGTTGTGTTTATTTCAGTGTTCAAATTAACTTTCAAGCCCTCAAACGGCTGGTGTCATAGCTGATCACAATGTGCAGCACCATGGTAACCACAATCCCATAGAGGCCAAGATGGCACCTTTCTTGGCTGTAAGAGATAGCGGGTTGTAGTTCCACTTTAAGGTAAACACTGTGATAATAACTCAGAATATGTGCTCACTGTGTTTGTGTGTATATATGTTTATATAGTATATTTTCTTCTGTTTGTATTACATCACACCTTCCTTTTTCCCTCTGCTGCTTTTGTTCCTATCAGGAAAATGAGCACACCCAAGCAGACCTGTATGCAGATTTAGCAGTGGCCTCAGATCGCTACAATCCATTAGCGCTAACCAATAAAGGAAACGCCGTGTTTATAATGGGAGACTATGAAAAAGCAGAGGAATATTATAAAGAAGCTTTGCGGAATGACTCATCCTGCACAGAGGCTCTATATAACCTTGGTGAGGAGACTGAGACCTGTTTACCCACATCTGACTTAGCTTTTGGGCTTTGCACTTCTATTGACATGAAAGAGATGGCTCCGGTATCCTGAGGTACCTGGCCGTTTTCAGATTTTCTTTACAGGCAAAATATAGCAAATGAGAAATATTATAATTACACTGCATTCCTATGTGAAAATTCAGTCAGAGGCAGGCATAGGCGTACTTCAGTGGTAATTCATTCCGAGTCAGACGTAGACAGCTAAATTCACAAAGTCAACTAAAGGGAGTGCTTAATATTACAGACTAACCCAAACTGGAGGTTTTATTGAGCTAAACAGCACAGTTGGGCTGTGTATCACATCACACCAGTGTCTGGACCACAGGTAAAATAACACAGAGCCAAATTATCTCTTCCATCCACTATTCATCCAAACATAGATTTAAAGGAGAATTATGGAGAGAGTGAAATGCACTCTCTCCAATAGTTAGAGCCGACGTGTGACACTGTAGCTGTATAGATCGAGAACTGAGCGATCACATATTGCCATTCGCTCAGCTCACTGTCTTCTCCCTGCAGAGAGTGGTGACTGTCAGTCATTTCTCCTCACAGAGATTCCCCCTTTCCTCTCCATTTCTCCAGTCTGACTACAGTCTCAATCAGGCAGCAGGGTGGATCCCAAAAATAAGCGGGCAATAGTCCTTCTGTGAACCTAAAGAGAGTTACGACCAAAAAAGGTTTGGTCATAGTTCTCTTTTAGGGTAAAGTATCCTTTTTAAGTACTTATCCTAATCAGATCCACCTTAGGGCAACCTACGCAGGAGCCTAGGTATTGTCCAGGGGGTTCAGCTATACAACCTTCATTCTTCTGCAGTAAACTAGTGGGATAGCGCATTTAGTCAAAGCTGTTCACCTGCCTGTCACTTTAAAAGGGAGGGTACACTTTTAGTCAGTTGGTCCCTGATGAGGTCATCCCAGTGCAGACAATGCAAATCAGGTAGCTTCTCTGTGTCTGTTGCAGTCCTTCTCAATGTCAATCAAAGGGATGAAGGGGCCAAAGCTGCTACTTTGCCTAGGGCCCTATTCTGCCTTTATCATTCTCTGATCCTATATTTCCTAGTGGTGGGATGCATAATTTTTAGCTTTCCTATAAGACTTCCACTTTCACTCTAAAATTAGTGGTGCCTATGGGGTAGTATAGATAGAGTGGAGGAGTGGGTTCTGCGCTGGATCACTTGGCACATATTCTCTCCAACCCTGTCTCAATCTCCACACAAGTACCGGCCTCATCTAAATGTCTGTGTATTTACAGTATGTAAAGTCACTATTTCAGATATGAGAAGTGTTTAGAAAAGTACACGTATCTTTAAGGAGATTACTGCACCATGCATCAGCTACCTAACAATTTCACAGAAATCCCCAAGTGTATTATCTGAGTATGTACATCCTCCAAGCCCACTGTGTGAACAGTAGTCTAATAGACCAGAAAATCCAACCCAATGTTATACAGCATGATAGATTCTTCCCACCCCAATATCTGTTGATCAGGTGACCAGAAATGCCTGCAGAGGTTGTTAGGTGTCCATAAAATACTGATAACTGTGAGATACTTCAAAATTGGTCAGTAGGAGTAGCTTCCTTTCATTTTGTTACATAGGCCTCAATTAAGCTATTCAAGTACTTTTTTCTTTCTGCTTTCTCTATCTTCTCTATCATTTTTGTGTATTAACCTTACACATAAAAAATAACTTGTACTGGTATTTTTTCCCCCAGGTTTGACGCACAAGAAATTAAATCGCCTCGAGGAGGCTCTGGATTGTTTCCATAAACTCCATGCAATCCTCAGAAACAGTGCTCAGGTTCTTAGTCAGATAGCAAGCCTGTATCCTTCAAGAGTGTTAAAGAGATTTGCGCTTTACAGAATAAAAACAATTGAGTTACGTCTGTAATATTTATCCTAAAGCAAACCTGTGCTTTGCATGTGCAGGAGAGAGTGTTGGGTTTGCTTTAATCCTCCTTCTCCAGCAGCACATATTCACCTCTCATTCAGTCCCCTGGTGCTCCATTCAGCTGTTGGGAGCAAAGAAAATACCTTTTGGGTTTGGAGGAGTGCTTAGCCAGTCACCAAGGAGAGTCCCTAGCCCTGTGTATGCTACAACTTGAGGCACTCATAGCTTACATAGGGCAGCATATCCTGCTTCAAGCAGCTGAACAAAGCAGCGGGTGGGGGGTAGGGTGTGGGGGTTATAGAAAGGTAAGTTTTAGCCAGTGGGGAAATGGGGATTAAAGTAATTCTGTTGCTTGCATGGGTACTGTAACACTTAAACCAATATTGTTTTACATAATTCATATATATTAACAGCTGTTGAGATATTTGTATGGGTTGGTGTACTAATACAAGGGTGTAACAACAGCCATAGCTCACATTGCTGTTCAGTGGCCTGAAGATGATAGGAGCCAGCGGGGCACCAATTATTTGGTCCAGCAAAAACCAATGGTAACATTTCATGGCTCCCCTGCCATTCACTTCTCTTGTGCAGGGAGAAATGTATGGTGCTTTGCTCTGGTTGGCTGAGTTTGCCATCAAGAGTAAGATTCTCACTTTATCTTCTGGGTCGCGGCCCTCTATGCCTCACCCCAGGCCAAGCTTAAGTACTGTGGCTTTGAATCATCCCTGTTCCCGATAGCGCGCGGCACCCGCCAAGGTTGTCCCCTATCGCCCATCCTTTTTGCCCTCGCCCTTGAACCATTGGCAGAATACATTAGAACCAACCCTGATATTCAGGGCCTTGAGGTGGCGGGAACTCACCACAAAATATCCCTCTTCGCTGATGATGTCCTCCTGTCTCTGACAAATCCCTTCCTCTCCCTCCCGAATCTCTTTAAGGCACTCTCAGACTTCGCACTCATCTCGGACCTAAAGGTCAACCAATCCAAATCCCAAGCTCTTAATGTCTCCTTGACGCCCGCAACACTAGCCACACTCAAGCTCTCCTTCCCGTTTACCTGGACTCCATCTCTAAAATACTTGGGCATTCGCCTGACCCCGACCTATGACACTCTATACGACGCCAACATCCCCCCCCCTTCTGAAATCTCTCACTAACTTACTGGTCTCCTGGCAGAGATTTCCCATCTCATGGATAGGGAGGATCCATGCAGTGAAGATGACCTTCCTGCCTAAGTTGCTCTACGTGTTTCGGACCCTGCCGATTCCCATCCCTGGCCATATCTTCCGCATTCTCCAACGCAGGATACTCGCGTTCATCTGGGGCAACTCCCGTCCCCGACTCAACCGAAAACTGCTATATCGCCCCAAGCTTTGTGGCGGTCTGGCAGTTCCTGATCTTCGCACGTATTATACGGCTGCCACCATTGCCCCCCTAGCCCTCTTACATTCAACGGCCGAGCTCCCGCTTTGGGCGTGTTTGGACATGGTGGACTGTCATCCCCTGCCCCTCACGTCCCTGCTATGGCTATCCCAGACCGATCGCCCTACTACTCTCAGCCCAATCCTTAAACACTCCCTGAAGGTGTGGGATGGAGTTCGGTACTCCGGCAACCTGATGTCGCCTCATCTCCCTTTACTACCCTGGCTCAACTCTCCATTATTCCCCCCTGGTGTCAGTGACCCTCACTCGTTCGCTTGGTGGTCTCGCAACGATCTGACCACTGTTCACTCCCTAATCTCGCTCTCGGGCGTGAAGTCGTTCCAGCAGCTCCGTGCCAATAGATCCATCCCCCTTCGGGAATGGTTCCGCTACACCCAAATAAGCCACTTTATTAATTCGCTCCTAAAAAACACCTCAGCTCCATCGAGAATGACCCTCTTCGAGCACTGCTGCAACTCAGACCCGCACGCCCCAGGTGTCATTTCTTTGATCGACTCTTCTCTGGTGACCTCCGCATCTACCACCCTCACCCACTATCAACGTCAATGGCATGAGGAACTGGGCAGATGTCTAACTTCTGAGGACTGGCAGCATACCTGGTCAGCGATGGCCCGTTGCTCCCGCAATGTACTCGCACTCGAGAACTCCTACAAAGTGATGTACCGTTGGTATTACACGCCTGCCCGTCTGGCGAAATTCATTCCCTCCTACTCTCCGCACTGCTTCCGGGGCTGTGGCGCACCAGGCACCATGATCCACATTTGGTGGAAGTGCCCCTGGGCGGCACACCTCTGGAATCGGGTCTACGACTTACTCAACTCTCTTTTTCAACTCACCTTACCAAAGGAACCGTGCGAGGCATTGCTGTTACAGCCAGTTCCGCAGCTGTCTCGTTACCAGAAGCACCTTGTGTCCCACATCTTTGTCGCCACCAAAATGACAATCGCCAGAGCGTGGAAAACCCCGACTCTGAGCTTCAGGGAAGTCAAAAATCGCATAGATGATATACTGGTCAATGAGAAATTGACTGCGGTTCTGTCCGACACCCATGACCGCTTCCTACTGATTTGGCAACCTTGGATCGATTACTCTAAGCCACCGTCCTTCGATCCGCAGCTTCTCTCCATTTAGAGGCTCTGTACTTCCCACCCCCTCCTGGTCCCCCTCCCTAGCCCACCACCCTCCCTTGTCCTACTCCCCTCTTGTTCTTTCCTATTCCCGGTCTCTCCCTCCTTCTCTACTTCCATGCCCTCTTCCTTTGACCCCTCTGTTGCTCTCCCTACACCGATCTGTGCTGTTTGACGTCCCCCGTACCATCTGCACCGGATGTCTCGGTGTAGGGGACCGTCTACCTCCGTGCTCTCTACTCCATGATACCCAGGGTCTGGACCTGATAAGCCCCCCCTATGGTGCTCCTTTTCATGTCATCTTAGGTCCTACCCACTATAACTGGACAGCGCTACCCTCTTTATACGCCTATAATGATCTTTGACGCTTGTTTTGTTGATTGGTTTTACAGTTTGCAGGGCGCTGCACAATGTTATGACTGCATACTTTCAATTTGTGTTCCTTGTTGCGGGGCTTGCATGCCCTATTTCTGTTCTCTTATTGATTGTAACTTTTATGTGAAAACAAAAATTATAAAAACCAAATAAAACCTTTGTGAAAGAGTAAGATTCTACACAGGGCGCAAGTGGGCTAAGCCCGGGCTTGACAAATGTTCTTTGAATCTAGGAGCCAGCTAAAAAAGTTAGGAGCCAGGTTCTTTTTTCCAGGGAAGTTTCGCGTTCGCAGGGGACTGTAATGTTTTTATTTTATTTAACTTTTTTTTTTTTTTTTTCTACTTTCTTTCATTGTAGATGACAGGTTCTCTTTAAGGTGACATTATAGGTTTGTTAGTGTCACCTTTCCACTTCAATAGCTTTAGCTGGGGAATGACAGCTGCCTGCTGAAGCAGCTGAGTCTAAACACTACAGGCAGTGGCTGGGAGCAATAATGAGCCTGCTATTGACCATTTCAAATTGCATCAGCCAATAACAGTCTGGCTATTGCACCTGCCTGCTGTCAGTCAGCAGAGGAGGGAACTGAAGGAGAAAGTTCTTCTTCAGGTCCTCCTCTGCTGATTGACCGCAGGCAATGGGCAGATGCAATAGCCAGAATGCTATTGTTATTGCAAATTTAAATAGCCAATAGCAGGCTGGCTATTGCTGCCAGCTGCTGGATGGGAGAATTATTGGCGGCTGGCAGTTGATTGTAAGAGGAGCACATGATGCACGAGGGAGGGGCACAGGGAATGCAGAGTCACAGCAGTCTCTCACCAGGCACCCCCTGCAGTGGTCTGTGTTGGAGGGGAAACAGACCGCAGCATGCAGCGGGGAGAATAAAGGTCACGGCACAGCACAGCAGAGCTGAGGCGGCGGCTGGAATTGTGCTTTTCAGCACTCCTCACTTAGTAGTGACATGTGCAATACCTCCTGCTCACCTCCCTGCTTGTCTCCACTACCATGCGCAGAGGACCTACAGCGGATCTCACATAATTGGGATTGTTTTCTTCCTGGAGATTTCAAGCTCTGAATATTCCCCCTTTCCGGGAAGTCAGTCTACCACATCGGTAACCAGCAATTAGCATAAACAAAAAAAGTGTGATTGCGAACTACATAGTGTAGAGAGTCCAAGGGTTAACTACTGATCGGAACTGACCAATTTTAGAAGATAGTAGAAAAATGGTTTTATTATGTACAAAATGACCACAGCCAACACCTTATTATCAATACATAATACATCAATATTTTAACCTACAGCGGATCTACTGGGGGAAGCAGTGGAAAAGACAGGTACGGTGAACGGGCTGACAAAAGCCCAGGTGACGGGAGGCAATTTGTAGTTGCATTGGCAACCTGTCCCTGGAATTTGTCGAGCCCTGGGCTAAGCTGCCTTTTTATATTCCTATAGGAGAGCAGAGTAGAAGCTGCCTGTCCACTACTTTTTCATTAATAAAGCATTCCTCTCAATGGTCACCCAACCCTTCAAACACTTGTTAACCTCGCTGGCGGTATGATTTCTTCTTTACCTTTTTTTGTTCTATTTGTTTTCGTTGAAAAAAAACAACTTTTGAATCTCCCGCCATCGGCATCACCCGGAGGACACAGCGCAGCTCGAGGGACAAGGTAAGGCTGTGTATTTCCCAGTGTGGCTCAGGGTTACCGCTTATGGTACAGAAAATTAACCCCGAGCCACACTCGGGAATACCGCCAAGGAGGTGAAGATAGAGTATGTGTATAACACTGGAATGGGCAAAAGAGAGAACCTCTGATAGTTGCACCATAGAAACATTTCCAGCCAGCTGCAGCTTTCTTGTGCCTCAATCTATGCTGTCTTTTACAGCAGGTACAAAGCATAAAGTCTAAAAAACAATATAGATTGAAGCAGGAGAAACCTGCAGCTGGCTGAAGATTAGACAATGAGTGGGCAATGTGGCAGGTTCACCAAGAGACATCTTTACCCAGACAGGTTCCTTTGGCAGGCCACCTTTCCTGCATATACTTCCCCTTTCTACCAGAGCCTTAAGTTAGGAGCCCTGTGTAAGGTGTGTTGGTCCGTGTCTGAGCTTACACAGGGCTAATAACCTTCCCCCCTATACATACAGTATGCAATAGTGCTCTATGGGAGAGGCTATGGTGTTCCCCCCTACCCAAAATTACCATTCCTTTTCAAAGGATCTGGCAGGTGATTGAAATGATGGGGGAGTGTACCAAAAATAGGTATTAGCAGAAATGGTAAATGGCTGTTAATGGGACCTGTCACTTTGCCGTCCTATTTAATGTTTGCAGGTGTTTTGGTCTAGCAATACTCGCGCTTCTTGTGCCAGCGACAGGGGTCACCAAGGTTAGCAGAGATCTTTCCAATGGGGACACATGCAACAGTACAAACATTGTTGCATGGGTGGAAGGGCTAGAACCCCTGTCATGTTTTTAATACCACCTTTGTTACTGCTGGGGAGATTTTGGCTTCCTGCTAGAAACCATGGGGAAACCTCTCTATCTGGATCCTAGATAGCATAAAAAGCTGAAAGCCAGTGTAACCCCACCCACGCTTTTTCCAAAACTAAAAAAAATGTTTAAAAAGTTCTAAGTATTAGAGAAGCAGTAACCAGCTGCTTAATGTTGCCTTCTTCTAATATTGATCTGGATACCAACATCTTCTCACTCCTTGTACTACTGTTGGATATATTTTTCTCATTCTCTACATGCACTGTATTCTTTTAATGCAAGGTTGCTGAATCAGTGTAATCCCACATGCAAGCAAGGCAATCCTTCATTTTGTGTATACCTGTGATGACTGGAACCACCACTGCTCCGTTTTTCTCCCTTTAGTTCTAGTATATATACACAGAACCTCTTTTTAAATTGAAGTTGTCTTATATTCTTTTCTCGTAAGGTTTATTTTCCTTAACTTAGCTTGTGTAGGTATGAATTGCTGGAGGATCCCAATCAGGCAATGGAATGGCTAATGCAGCTTATTAGTATTGTTCCTACTGATTCGCAAGCACTGGCTAAACTGGGCGAGTTGTATGATACGGAGGGTGACAAGACACAAGCCTTCCAGTACTACTGTGAGGTAGGTCCTATGTTTAAATACAATACATTCTAATCCAGCACAGATATTTATCACAAGAACATATATAGCATAAAGGGATATATTATCGATAGGCTTTTGCTTTTCATCCTGATACCGCATAAAATAAACTTGGGGGAGAATGAAGTTATAAAAATATTACTAAAGCTGGCCATACAACAGTAGAATTTTGTTCAAAAAAGTTCGATCTCCCAAAAGTGAATGGGGAGAAATCAGTGATCAATTTCGACCATAGTGACAAACAGAATTGAAGGAGCAAAATGGAAAAGTGGAGCCATATGGAACGAAGTTCTAACAGTGAATTTGATTATCGTTCAGGAAAACGCCATTCATTGCAAAATGTAATATTAAAAATCAAACTAGATTTCGAACAACCACAATGTCTCTGATGGCGTTCTCAAATATTCCAGCAAGATTTTTAGTATGAGCTTCCATATGAACAATTACCATTGTATGGCCAGATTCACACTGAATATCAGGCAGATGCCTTTCATTCTTTTTCACAGCATCCCAGTTCCCCAGAACACCAGGGTGCTCCGGTATGCAAACAGCAAACACAACCTCTGTGTTTGCTGGCTCTGGGCTGCCCCCTTCACTCTTGCCTCATTATACTTATCCATACCAGAACGCCCTGCTTTTCTGTCGTTATAGATTATATTATAGTTATTAATATAATAATTATATCTAATTGATGATTATATAGTGTATTGTCTGCACCCATGGTGTCAATGGTTTCCTGGTTTTGTTCACATTTCGAGTGGTGATCTACTAAAACCATTGTCATCTAATTCATTCTATTGAGCCCAGTTTCAGTCATTCAGCCACTTGAACCAAAAAAACTTGAAAACGATTAGTGGCAGATTTACTATGCTGTTGTATTTTTTGATATAAAGCTTCATAACTTGCCACATGCATAGTCAACATGATGGCTGGTGAACGCGAATGTCAGACTAAAGGTGCCCACACACCTTACAATTTATCTGCAGATTTTCTGTGGTCAGATGGAAAAGGTGCAACAGATTGGCCCAGGTGGAGGTTCCTCCATCCACACAGTTAAGTGTAGATGGAGGAATCTGTTGCACCTTTTCCATCTGACCATAGAAAATCTGCAGATAATTGTAAGGTGTGTGGGCAGCTTTAGAAGCAAGTCAAACCCAAGTACAAGAAAGTCAAATACAGAATAGTATCAGGGGAAAACGCTTGCATTGCAGACATGATTAGTTGTGTTTATCATGCATTAAAGCAGAACATAAGTATTCTTAACTCTTGTAGTGGGGCTACCCCCGCGCTGCAAGGGTTAAGGGCTCATTTTTGTCTAGGTGCTAAAAAACAAAAAGTTATACTCACCCGAAACTTGGAGCTGGCTGTAGGGCTGTAACTAATATTTATTTTCATAATCGAATAGCTGGCCGATTATTATTTTGGTTTCGATTAATCGGATTAAAAAATTCAATAAATACCATCCTTAATGTAAAATAAAATACACAAATGGAGTGTTACAAAGAAAGTTTACTTCAGAATAAAACTGCATGCACATTTTTTTATTTACAGAATTCCGGTACCATGCGTTCCAGTGCAGGTGATCGCACTGTGCGTGGGAGGCGCGTTTGGGGTGCCATTGGGGTGCCATTGAAACGAATGGCACTGCAATGCACCTCCCGCAGCAGAATTTGTCAGGCCCTAAACGGAAATTATTATTTTTCCCCACCTTTTTAAAAAAAAATTAAAAATAATTGTATTGTAAGCACATGGCGCTCGAATAGCTTCAGCCCGGAATGACAGCTCCCAGTGGCAAGATTCCGCAGACGGCAGCTGAATGTAAATACAGCTGGTAGTGGGTGGGTGCAATAGCAGCCTGCTTTTGGCCATTTCCAAGTGCAATAGCAGGCTGGCTATTGCACCCGCACACTGCTTGTTGCGCCCTCCTGCCAGCGTGGTGGAGAAAGCTAGGGGATTCAACCAACTAATCGATAATGAGAATAGTTGACAACTATTCCCATTATCGATGATTAATCGATTAGTTGGTTGCAGCCCTAGCTGGCTGCTACTGCGGTTCCTTCGGCACAAAAAAACAACAGTGTTCCAAGTGAGGAGCGCTGCAGCAAGTGGTTACTAAATAGACCGAGAGTCTATTTAGTAACCACTTGCTGCAGCGCTCCTCACTTGGAACACTGTTGTTTTTTTGTGCCTTACTCTGTTTGGTTACATGACCTCGATGACCAGCCTCAACTGTATATAAAGGGATATAATCAGTATATCGGAGGTCCAGGGAAATTACATTTTTTTCATGGTATGTCCTTTGGCATCCTCACACCCCATACACTGTGTATAGAACATGATGATTCAAGGATCCTTGGACCTTTTGCAGCGGAGGGTGAGAGGCTACAGGGACCTTTCTAAGAACAAGCCGGCTCTGAGGATCAGGTACGTCTAACTTTTTTTTAGCACCTAGACCAAAAGGAACATTTAACCCTTGCAGTGTGGGAGTAGCCCTGCAGATTTAAAGAAGTATTTTGCAGTACTGAGGGCAGATACAACCAGTAAACTAGCTCCGTGCCTACTCATGTAAATGGGCTCTCAGTAAATGTAGTATAGGACCTTTGCATTCACTTCCACTCAGGATGTTTTTGTCACTGAGCTGGCAAACAGCAAAGCAGAACAAAATTCCTAACGTTCCTGTGACCCATAAACATCCCTCTTCATCAGGCTGCTTTACACCCAGTATACATTGGCTGCATTCATATGTGACTAATTGCTGGCAAGCTCAGCCTTTAATATTTACATGGCTAAGATTTTCCACAAGTGCCAGGAAAAGACGTTATTTATGACTGAAAGTGTTTCTTTTTGCCTTGCAGTCCTATCGCTATTTCCCCTCAAACATTGAAGTCATTGAATGGCTGGGAGCCTACTACATTGACACACAGTTTTGTGAGAAAGCCATTAAGTACTTTGAAAGAGCTGCTCTCATACAGTAAGTACAGCTTGCAGCAATGGTCGCTTTGTAATAAGTCGCCATCCAAACCAACTGAGTTTTAGGTGGATGGTGACTGAGATTCTTGGTATGTGTGCACTGGAGCCACATTGTAAAGTATGGTGTGTAAAAGAAGGTCCTGCACCAATCTCCTCTCTTCCTGCTACTGATGTGTACGTTGTTAATTTCTCTCTCTAGCTAGAGCAGGGGCGGGCAAACTCCAGCCCTTCATCTATGGTAAAACTGCAAATCCCATCATGCATCTGTCTCTAGGCATCATGCCTGTGGCTGTGGGAATCTTGCAATGACTCGTGGGATTTGTAGTTCCACAACAGCTGGAGAGCTGGACTTTGCCTGAGCTAGAGAGTGCTTTCATTGGAAATAACATTCCAAAATATCCAAAGACATCACCGGCTGAAGTTACATGCAAATCTTGATCTTCCCTTGAAAAGATGAGTTTGGTCATGCCCCTTCCCTCCTCCTAAGCCTCTCATTTGCTCTTTTGATGTGATGGGCAGCTTAATTGACTAATGGAGAGGCTCTAAAGGTAGAGGTGGATGTGGAAAAGCTCCACTTTTTCCTAATATTTTTAGATTTGTATCTAACTTTAGCTGCCTATATTGTATATAATTGTGGCATGCAGTTTTTACTGATGTATAATGTATCTTTTACTTATGCAATCATATGGTCAGTTTGAGTCACCCAGGTTTAAGGACTGCTGACATAAAGCCTTTTATCTTTAGGGTTTATTCAGATGGGCGTGTACACGCACACTGTCTGTGTCCAAGTGCAGGCACCCGGAACCGCACATATGTGCAGGTTCAGGTGTGCGTGTAACCACATGTAGTTCCGTGCAGCCGCGTCCTCCCATAGAGAAGAACAGGCTGCTGTGTGCATTTACACACAACACCTGTCCCTTCGCCCATCTGAATGAGCCCCCCGGGCTTGTGCACACAGCCGTCAGTGGCCATACAATGTAAACTCCAGTGTGTTCCCCCCACTGGGGAGTCACAGATGCTACATACAGCCACCTATAGAGCTCAATGGCTGTACGCAAGTATACGCTGGACTTGTTAAACACGCGTATGCGTACATGCACACAACCATGACCCTTGGGGTTCTGCCGCGTGTTTATGCAAGTCTGGCATATACCTGCATACAGCAATTGACTTTGATGGGAGGCTGTATGCAGCACCTATAGCTCCCTGGAAGGGGAAAAACCCCGGAATGTATGTTTTTCGGCCACAGGCTGCCATGTTCATGAGCGCTTATAAGGAGTCTGTTCTATTCAGTCCGGTCAGACCTGACATATAGGCTTGTATATTAAGACATGGGCAGTGAATCAAGCACAGTCAAAGTGTACAGTCTTCATTCATTTCTTACCAAAATTGACTTCACTGAGCCTAATAAAACACTGAAATGTAGTCGATAGCAACCAATGAAATCATTCATTTTATTTTAAAATCTCCAGTACAAAAAGGTGTCTGCAATCAAACTGCCTTCTCTCAGCAACTTCTGTTTCCTTTCCATCTCTTTCAGCTTCTACAAACAAGTCACCGTTGTGCTGTTACACTCTGATTATTTTTGTATACAGCATAACAAAATAAACAAAATGTAACTGGCTGACATTTGTGTTAGGTTGTGAATCAAGCCATTGAATTGAACTGAATCGACTCTTTTGTGCTGTGTAATGTGAGTGGCTTTCACTTGGGAAGAGCATGACATGTATACAGAGAGTCACTGTTGTCAAAGCCTGAGGCTGCCCTGTGACAGGTGTGTCAACAAAGACAAATTCTGTGCAGGTTCCTGCAAAGTCAGCCTGTGTGGTAAGGTACAAGAGAAAGCATATACTTTTATAATGTAGTGTACATTGCTCAATGAAAAGAAAAAAATTATAATAAGTCCTACCTTACATCTCCCATTATAAAACAAGCATTGAAGTGGCTATATAAAGCCCTTAAGACCATGGTACCCCACCCCCACATAGTCAATAGAAAGTACATGGATGGGGCTTTTAAGGTACCAAACAAAAGTCTTTCATCCACAATCATTAAATCATAAAAATTGTATTTCTACACATAAAAAAACAATTTGTTAAACATGATTAAAATCCAATCTGCATCAATTCATAAGACCACCTCCTTGAAACCACACAATGACTTTACAGTATCATGCATATAATACATGTGTGTCCATTTCTCAGCATACAGTACAAAATCTGTAATAAAAATGTCGTAGAACTACAGTCACAGTAAAGTTTATGTAAACCCTAACCATTTATTTCACTCATTTGCTCCCTTTTGCTCTGTGAAATACACCTCGCTCCATATACCATTGAAAGCATTTTCTTATAACTGTTCAATAAGCGCAAAACAAACCTCATTCTACCAGAAATCTTGTGGGCTCCCAGTTTCCTGTTGCCTCTGCTGAACTCTTATCAGTTACATTGTTCTCAGCTATCTCCTGACTACAGTACGCCTCCTCAATGTATTATGGAGAAGAGAAAAGTTAGGTATTCTATCATTCTGTCCTAGGGTGACAACACTGCTTCTCTGTAAATACAGTGTGGCCAGTAAGTGTTGTCACCCTAAGGCAGGATGTGTGTTACTGGCAGAATCACCGGGTTAAAATACAAGAAAGAAAAGCCTGAAATATAGAAACGAATGCAGCCACCACATCTAAGGACTGGTAATCTGCAGAGTATTACACTTTTGATTGTTGGTTTAGATTTAGTTTAGACTGACACTCATGGACACCTCTGGGTTATTGTAAAATGGTTTTAGTATTTACTTATGTTTCTGCTCTTTTTACAGACCAACACAAGTGAAATGGCAGCTGATGGTGGCCAGCTGTTACAGGAGAAGTGGTAACCATGTCATATATTCTAACGAATGCTTTTCCTAATCATTACAATGTACATCATGTAAATCAGGCAGTTGATTAGTGATGAGTGTACACAATCACTATACCTTCCAACATGTTATCATCTGAGAAGCAGAACTCGGACCTGCACAAATAATATTGACCAGTCATTTATAAGGCTCACCTTACAATAGTCATGCTAACCAGAATAGATGGGGCGTCCACCTGCCGTCTCCTGACAGCCATGGATGTGCTGCTGACACAATACCCGAACAGTGACTACAGCTGGTTGGCCACAGTGAGTGTTCAGCCAAGATTTTTTGGAACGGCTCCTGATAAAATCAACTTTTTTTCAGTTGGGGAAGGAAGGGAGGGGGGGCTTAAGGGGGTCACACAATGCTCAAATTTCAGCCAAGTGAGCAGGACAATGATAGGTTTTATTTTAGTAGGTGCCTCCAAATGTTTAACCCTTTTATGGAGTTGTTGTCTTTGTCTTTTTTATCCAGGAAACTATCAAAAAGCACTTGACAAATACAAGGATATTCACCGCAAGTTCCCTGACAATGTTGAATGTAAGGAATCTTGTCTTGTCAGTATTAAACCGGGGTTTGTTATTATCTGTGTAAAGAAGAGAACAATTGTACTTTAAATGCAATATATTTGTTGTCTTTGTCTTTTTTATCCAGGAAACTATCAAAAAGCACTTGACAAATACAAGGATATTCACCGCAAGTTCCCTGACAATGTTGAATGTAAGGAATCTTGTCTTGTCAGTATTAAACCGGGGTTTGTTATTATCTGTGTAAAGAAGAGAACAATTGTACTTTAAATGCAATATAGAGTGATTTTGTGTGTGTATGTATGTAT